TAAGCCGCAGAACATCGAAAAAGCTGATTATTATAGTAGCCATCTACACTCAATATTTGGCAAAAGCTACCAAACATCCCAGAGATATTCTGAGCTGATTTATTTCATCATTTTACCGAAGACGATTGCTAAAATGGCCATCTAGAAATAAGCGGTTGCCTTGAATCAAAAGATCTGCTTGAATGAGACGACAACGATACGCTCCTAACCCTCAACAAGGTGTTGTTTACTGTTTGTAAAGAAAAAATTTTGAAACACTGTGATGAATTTTTAGGAAGAAAAACTTACGCAAAGATCATCATCAGTAATGCTTCTGCTGCATTGGTTTTCGCAATCACTAATCGACTGCTGTAAAAAAATTAAAAATTTTGATCCATCTGCATCCAACGGTGAAAGCTCCTCTTTCATTGTACAATTCCTCAATATTAAATCAGTCTGCGACTCTTTAAAATTTGTCAGGTATGATACGTTAACGTATATTTGCACACATCATATTTATAATGCGCTTCTATATACTGACAAGATAATTCAGGTAGTAACGCGTACTGGACTTGCCGATTTGCGTTTTTATGCGGGCCTTGAAGCAGTCAGATTATTAACATAGTTGATACCTTACGGTTTAACATGTACACTCACAGTAGCAATTTTTTTGCTTTTTCTTGCACTTTAAAGAAAAAGGTCGCAGGCTCAGATAGTGGTTTTGCATCCTGCAAAACTCGGGAACCAGAAAAGCTAAAAAGCTGAAATTTTAAGGGGATGTTTTTTGACAGCCCTGGTGGCCAGTCTTAATTTCTTTAGCAAGAAGCATCTGCCGGAAAAAACAGCTGTCGTTAATGGCAAAAACCCGCAGGGAACTATGTAAAAAACGCATCTTCGCACCGGCAGTGGTGCGCTGGCCAATTACTGGGTTTAAAATCAGATTGCAAAAACCATCATGCCAGTTTTTATGCGTTTTTTGCAGCAATGCAATGCGGAAAACGCATAGTGACGAGAGGTTGTCTGCGTGTGTGTGTGTGTGTGTCTGTGTATCTGTGTGTGCGCTGGGCCTCTGTACTGATTTTTCATCTCGAGACCGGCAAAAGTTACGGGGCTGAAACTTTGGGGACATGATCTACATGCAC